GCACAGGCCCAGGTGGACAGCTGACCAAAGGCCAGCCCCTGCTGCCACCGCTCAGGGAGAGCCTGGCCTCTCCATTCTCAGAGACCCATCAACTCCAGCGGAGCCACCACTGCAGGAGGTCAAGCTGGTGAGGTCACAGGTGGCAGGTCACCAGAACAGTCATCAGGAGGACCAAAGCCCATCAGGAGCCCATGCAGCCCAGCCCCTCTCTGCCCAGGCTGGCTCTATGCAACCTAAGACTCGTGGGGAGACAGAGTCACTCCACAGCACAGCCGCAGTGTCACCAGAGCTGTCCTCAGAACCACTGGTGTCCAGTCCTCAGGGGCCTGAGAAAGCTGTCAGAGTACAGATGGACATACACATGTGCACACACACTGTTAACTACCACTGCACACGGGAACACACACGCACACACAGGGTTAACCGCCGCTGCACACGGGAATGCACATGCACCTACAGGGTTAACCGCCACTGCACACGGGAATGCACATGCACATACAGGGTTAACCGCTGCTGCACATGGAAATGCACATGCACGCACGCGCACGCGCACACACACACACACACACACAGGGTTAACTACCACTGGACACACACACAGGGTTAACCACCACTGCACACAGACACACACACGCACACGCAGGGTTAACCACCACTGCATATGGACACATACATGCACACACACGGTTAACCACTGCCACACATGCACATACACACACAGGATTACTACTGCTGCACACACACATACACACACACAGGGTTAACCACCACTGCACACGGGCATGCACATGCACACACAGGGATAACTGCCGCCACACACAGGCACACATATGCACACACAGGGTTAACTACCACTGGACAAACACACACACACACACAGAGGGTTAACCACCGCTGCACATGGACACACACATGGACACACAGGATTAACCACTGCCACGCACTCACGTGCACACACACCAATGTGCGTGCATACACGCACACGCACACAGGTTAATTACCACTACACATGCACACACAGTATTTACTGCTGCACACATGCACACACATGCACACACAGGGTTAACCGCCACACATGGGCACACACATGCTTAATTACCACCACACATACACGTACGTGCACACAGGGTTAACGACTGCTGCACACGCACACACAGGGTTAACCACCACTGCACATGTGCAGCACACACAGGGTTAACTACTACTTCACATGCACACACGTGCACATAGGGTTAACTACTGCTGCACACGCACACTGGGTTAACTACCACTGCACACACACACACACAGGGTTAACTACCACTGCACATACACACACAGTTTACTACCATGGTCAACTACTCACACACATGCATATACAGAGTTCACCACCACTGTACTCACACACACACACCGTTACCCATGGCCACACAAACATGAGCACACAGTTAACTATGCAGCACACACACAGTCCAGTGCCATACACACACAGGCTCACTACCGTGCTCTGGCCTGATGCCAGGAGAACCCACAAGCCCACGTTGACTGGCCTTGGACCCTCGAGCATCAGGTGAGTGCACAGACATGACAGCACTGGTAACCAGGGACAGGACACCAAGGTGACAGCCCTTCCAGCAAAGGCACCGGCCGTCTGGTCCAGAGCGTCGAAGACACCCCACCTGGGCAGGACACCCGGAAGGGAGTGACCTGCCCGCCCCGCTCCTAAGCCCCCGCCCGTCATGACTAGGGGCTCCGTGTAGTTCAGAAGTGACTGGCTCTGGACATACAGCAGTGAAGCTTTTTCCCTAATCTTTTTCCCATAACACAAATTCCACCAGCTGTGTCGGCTCTGAAAACCACACGCAGCGGGGTCACTGGCATGAACTTTGGGACTCATCTGCCTGGTGCTGTCTTACTGGTAAGTGACCCCTTACTATTTAGATGTCACCTCACAGCAGGGTGACTTCACTGAACACTCTGTGCCTCAGTTTCCACATCTGTACAACAGGGAGGACACGGGTGGGGAGGGAGGCTCAGGAGCGCTAAACCATGTGGGGCCGAGCCAGCGAGCCCTCCTGTTAAGAATCTCTGCCATTCTCACTACTGCAGAGCCCAAAGCCCTGTCCAAGGCCCGTGGATGTGAGAGCCCACGGCCCCATCTCCCTTCTGGACACACAAACCAACCAGAACAAACTAAGATTTCAGAGTCCTTCCAAAAGCTCTGAAAATGTCTGAGCCACCCATTGGGAATGGAAGGGACACATTTCCTAAAATCATTACAATTTTCTTGGAACAGTTTACTCCTTTTCCACTGAGACTCTCCTTTACCCCACCAGGAAAGGGCCCCCACATCCCCAGCCCTCTGGAGCAGTCTTGAGTGCTGGCTTAGCAGAGCCGCAATGGAGGCTCAAATGCAGAAGCAGAGGCCTTGCCAGGACGAGCCACGCCAGAGCCACAGCTGCCCAGGGCTCGCGTCCAGCCAGCATGGGTGTCCATCAGTCCTGGCTCCTGGGCAAGACAACATCGCCCACCTCAGCCACCCGCCCCACCTTGTCCCACCCCTCCAAGCGCTTTCTGGTACTCACGTAAGAAGTGTTTTTCCAATAAGGCAATTTCCAGGTGACCTTTGATCTCATTCAGTCGATCATACTCTGTCCGGTTAAAGTCCTGGACTCCTGTGGCCATGATGAGGGTCCCTGGACCAGCCTAGAAGAAAAATACCAACAGCTCAGAGGGGCCACCTGTGGCACCCTGTGTCTCCACCACTTGGTTCCCCCAGATGTGCCCAGGGTCCCCAGGATGGCAGAGGTGGCATCTGAAAGGGAGCAGCAGCTGCAGCCTCTGGACACACAACGGTCAGATGGGGTGATGGTGCCCCCAGCATAAGACCTGCGTCTGCCCACCCAGCCTCCTCTGTTGGGGGCAGGGATATCTCAGACAACGTGGATATCCTCAGAGGCCCTGTAACGCTGACTCTAAGAAATATCTTAAGAATTAAAACTGGATGAGTGGCGCTGTCTCTTGATGGTTGTGCTCCTGACCTCGGGCTGCAGAGGGAAGAAAACCCCGGAACTGTGCTGGCCCCATGTGTCCGGCTGGCCGTGCCAGAACCAGCCCTCCCACCTGAGCGGAGCCTGGGGGCGCCTCCAGGGCCAGGCTGAGTAGGTCGGAGAGACTGGCCCACGGGCAGAAGGGTCTGCGGAACTGAGGTAAGCAAACGCCAAACAGGGGCCTCCTCTGTCTGCTTCCCGAAAACCCCCGCTCACCACCCCAGCGAGCCAGGATGGGCTCGGGTTACAGGCCACCGCTGCCTGATGCCTGGAGCTCAGCAGCTGGGCACAGGCAGCTGCTCCACATCTTGCTGACGGGACAGAAAGCAGAAGCCGTGCCTGGCACAGCCAAGCCTGCCTGGGCCCCACACTGCACACCACACAGTCACCCTCCACGATGTATCCTGCCAGGGACCTGGTGAGGGACAGCACATGAGTGAGTGCCCCAGCACAGGATGGCAGGGACCCGACTTCTCCACCTGGGTCCCCAGACCTCCTCCTCCAGGGCGAGGTAACGCATGTGTGGCTTGGACGAGACCACGTGGAGCAGCACGGCAATGGCTCCTTGGACGTGAATCACCCACGCTGTGGCCACAGCCCAGGAAGAAGGCGCCGGCTTCGGAAACCAGAGGCTTCTGGGCTGGCTGTGGCTGCCCCGCTCTGGGTGCCCGACCTCCCACACTTGCAGCTACTCTGGCTGCTGGGGCATGAGTTCTGGGGGCGGGGGGTGGGTGGAGGCAGGGTGATTCCATCTGTCCTGCCCACTGGAAGGGCCCGTGGGTGCTGCTTGGGGTCCGTCCCGGCACTGACAGATGAGGAGCATCCCCCTGATGGGCCGCCTGTTCTGGGAGGGAGGCCAGCGGAGCCAGGTGCTGGGAGCTGGGATCCCACAAGCACCCGTCCAGGAGGACAGAAGCTCCAAGAGTCCAAAGCAGGTCACGCAACCCCACGTGCGCTCCAGCTGACACAGCAGCGGACCTTGGCCTGGGGCTCCATGCTGACCCCAGAAACTCACGATGCAGGTACCACCTGCCTAGGACCTCAGCTGGGGCCCCAGGACAGACCCCGGGGCTAAACATCTCCGTGAAGGTGGCTCTGACACAGCCAGCCTGGAAAAGGTCCACCAGGGTGGGCAGGGGCCTGGGTGCGCCACATGCAGCTCGGAGGATGCCCTGCAGAGCCTGAGGCTGGAACCCCTACACATCTGGGCTGCTGAGCTCCAGTCCTCGCCTTTCAGACACAGACCCTGATGTGTTTCAGACAGAATGAGAACGTGCCTGGGACCTGCGCCAGGGTCTGCCAGTGCCAGATCATGAGGTCAGGAGTTCAAGACCAGCCTGGCCAATATAGTGAAACCCTGTCCCTACCAGAAATATTTTAAAAATTAGCCGGGTGTGGTGGCCCACGCCTGTAATCCCAGCTATTCATGAGGCTGAGGCAGGAGAATCCCTTGAACCTGGAAGGCGGAGGTTGCAGGGAGCTGAGACCACGCCACTGCACTCCAGCCTGGGTGACAGAGTGAGACTCCATCTCAAAAAAATGAAATAAAATAAAAATAAAACCAACCCTCAAGGCCTCTGTGCCTGAGCCCAGATTTCAGGATGTTTCTGGGAGGCTGCACAGCTAAGAAAGGGTGATGACAGGGGCTCAGAAGGGGCAGGGCAGGGCAGTCCTGCACACTCCCCCCTCTCCCGCCCTGGGGGCCGCGTGAGCCTGGCCTGGAGCAGCATCTACATGCTACAGGAATGAGGCTTCACAAAAGGGCCCTGGAACCAGGAGGAGGGTTTAGCGGATCGGTATTCACGGTCATGAGTAATGGCAACTCCCTGCGAGCCAGCCACAAGCCAGATGCCAGCCACACGTTTCACTTATTATCTCATTTAATCCTTACAGCAGGCCTGGGGGTCGACGAGACTGCCGTCCCCCTTAAAGCTGAGGCAGTGAGGCTCAGGTCCAGGTTAAACAGCTAAAGGGCTTGGTTTGGTCTGTGTGGTCAGTGCCCGACTGTGTTTAGCGCTGCGCCCTGGGCGCGGCCCTGCTTGCCCACGCTGGGAATCTCCTGGGATTCCAGATGTCCGAGTCCCTGCAGTGTCTTCCCCTTGCAGCCCCTCACAGCCTCGAGGAAAGGAGGCCCCAGTCCGCAGGCTGACCTTGCCCTGACCTCTGTAGCATTTGCCCCTCCTTGACAGCAGACCAAGGGGCCCCCTCCCAACTCAACACGCCCCCTCAAGCCCCCTTGTGCCTTGTGGACCACTACCTGCCCAGCAGAGCTGGTCCAGATCCCGGCCTCTCCTGTGACCCCAGCAATCCCACCAGCACCATATCCTCTGACACTCCCAGGAGCCACGTTCTCCAGGCTACCCATTAGACAACCAGCCTGGAGCAGCCAGCTCTGACACTGCCCTCCCCTGCAGGGGTTCCTGATGCCCCCACATCCAGATGTTCTTCCCCAGGTGAAGACCTCACCATCCTGCAGCTGTGTCTCCGGCTGCTCCAACCAGACCAATACCTGCATCTCTGCACCTGCCCCTTACTCCAGCCTTCTAGCGCACTCGGCAGCCACGTCAGGGACCACAGCACCCCAGGGGAAAGGCTCTCCTCTCTAATAGCCTTGCAAGCAAAGCCATCCAAACAGTACACCAAATCAAAGTCCCAGAATAAACATCCATGAGCTCCCCTAATCCCTCCTCTCAACAGGAGTCCAGGGCTGGACCAACATCCCCCTGATGGGCGCAGAAGCCAGGCCTAGTCCTGGAGGCACATCGCCACCACAGAGTCACCTCCCTCCCAAACCTCGCCTTCCACCTGCCACACAGCACAAGGCCCCAGCACTGCTCACTGTCAGAACCTTCTGGCAGCCCAGTGCCACTGCACCACTGGCTCCATGCCGAGACCACCTCCTGCAGGCCAGGCTGGTCGTGGACCATCCCAGGGAGGGGCGGCACCAGGTACCAGTTCCCGAACTCCTCCGTGACAGCATCTGTGATCTGCACCGAAACGCCATGGCGGGTACTGCTGGACCACGTGGCCTGCCAAGGCCTCAGGGCTGGTAAACAGCTGGGTATAAGCCCTGGAGGCCGGGCCCTACAGACCCTCTGCACCACCCACTCCTCCCATGCCAGCCCCACCCACCCCTAAGACGCCACGCACACACCCAAGCGGGAAGGCCTCTACCTGGTCAGTACCTGGGGCAGGGCAGATGGACGGCAGAGAGGGAGCCGGGACACAGCCCTGCTCTGGTCTTTGTGTGGGATCCCCTCACCCACCCCTCCTTGTTGAGCTTGGAACCATGTGTGTGTTGGGGGGGAGATTTCTGTTCCCAAGACAACCACCATATGCTCAGCACAAACACCACCCTCGGAGAACCGTGACCCACGCCCTCCATGCCAGCCCCAGCCAGAGGCAGATGAGACACAGCTCTCCAGCTCTGCAGGGCAGGCCCCTGCCGCTCTACCACATGACCTGCTTGAGGGCAGACACCCCAGGCCAGCAGCTGGGGGATGAATCAGCCTTCGCCTGGGGATGGCCGATCCCGGCAGGCGGGGCACCCCCCACTCTATAGCGATGCCCCAGGAAGCCAGGTGGCAATAAATTATTAATTCCTGCCAAGAGCAATGCACAGTCACCATCCTGTTATAAAGCACTAGTAACGGGAGGGGCCGGGGAGGCTGGTGCTCCCAGCCCATACCCGGGAAGAAGACCTGGCTCGGGGCTGGGAGAGGAAACCACCGGACACCAAACGTGGTGTGTGCACACTGGACAGGAGCCAGAGGCCACAGCGGCCAGAGGAGGGGCCACAGGGAGCCAATCCCACCTCACCACGCCCCAACCTGCACCCCAACCAAATGCAAGTTTCCGGAAGGCAGGCCCCACGCCCGCCTGGCTCCCACCCGGGCCCCAGGGCCTAGCTGAGGTGCTCCATGGGCATTTGCTGTCCCCCCAGCTGCCACAGACGCAGCCCTGACTCCGCATGGCTGAGAAGGGCCCAGCCTGGGCTCAGCCAGCTTTGCGGGCGGGGACGTGCTCCCTGGCTCAGCCAGAAGACAAGCCAGCACCAGCCGCTTCCAAACGGTGTCTGCCCTGCCGTATCTGCCTGTCAACGTTCCCAGGCCAGGCCAAGGCTTCCGCATCACATGTGTGTGAAACGTCTGCCGCCCACCCAGAAAAGCCAATGAGGAAAACCAATCCAGCCACTGATCAGCCCTTGGAACAGAGGAGGCTCAGCCTGGCAGCATCCCAGCCCCATGAGGTCTGCAGGGGTCGGGGGTCAGGTGAGACGGAGTCAGGCCCAGTCTGTCTCTGACCAGCACAGGCAGGACATGAATCTGTCCATGAGTCCACGCTCGGCCCGGCCACAGAGGACGGAGACGACACCCCGGCCCACACCAGGGGACGAGGACAGGTACTCACAGGGTCCCTCAGCTCCTCGCTGTCCCGGGGCGAGGTCCGCGGTACCTTCAGGGGGATTTCATCGCTGCATTCGGTGTCTGAGGCGTTTGGAGACTCCGCTAGATCAAGGAAGTCATCTCTCTTGTGACCTCTGAACCTGATTTTGTCCAACCTCCTTAGCATGTTCAGCACTGAGCTCCTCTGCTTCACCCTAACATGACGCTCGGGGTCCCTGCAAGAGAGGGGGCACGGTCACTCGCCCGCTTGCCACTCTCCCTCCCACACGCACCCCCAACCCCACAACCCAGCTCCCACGCGAAGGGCACGGAAAAACCCTGACCCACAGACCACCGCCCTGCACCACCAGGTGGGGCCCTCGGCCACCCCACCCAGCCCAGCCTGGTCAGCGCTGAGCTGCGTCCTCGCCTCCCACCAGGCAGGACCCCCGGCTCCCAGCAGAAGGAAGCCAACGTTCTCAGCCCTGCTCAGCGAGGTAGCGTGCAGGCTCAAGGAAGGAACCCTGCTCTGGAAGAAGGAAGGAGGGCCAGCCAGGCTGAAAAGTTGCCTAACAAACCATCAAGAACATGGTCAACGTGACGGCCAAGCACTCCGCCAGAATGGCAGCCATGCCTGGAAGCCACCAGATGCATGCACTGGGGATGCCTCAATTGATTCTCTCCTGGACCTAGGGGACCTTGACTCGTGTCCTGCCCGCTCCATCTGGCCCTGGCTCCCAGGACTCCGCCCACGCTGCTCCCTCTGCCTAAAGCGTGTTTCTACTCGCCATGCAGCCAGGCTGGTACTCTGAGACACGTTAGATCTCACACCTCCCAGAGACAGCAGGGTCAGGGACCTGGGGCTGGCTGTGCCTCCTCCTCCGATCAGCACAGAGGCCTGGTCACACTGAGGTACAAGTCACTGTGTGCTGCACGGACACGCATGATTCACACACACCCTCGTGCCTAAGGATGGATGCGCCATGGGGTGCCTGCTCCCCACATCTCTGCCCCAACTGGGCCAGCAACACCAAGGCACCCCCCAAATCCTGGGGGCCAGGATCAGTGGCCCACAGGAGGAGCCAGCCAGGCAGGGAGAGGCCACCCCAGCCCCAGCCCCAGCCCCATCACCAGCTCCACGGCCTGGATGCCTCTCCCAAAAGCCCCTGTCCCCGACTTGTGCAAGACGCCTGGGTCCCCGTGGGAGGACTGCTCTGCGCACACCTGGGCTGAAAGCCTGTCCTGCCACTGCCCAGCTTTCAGAGCTGAAGTTTTTGCCTCTGAAAAGGGAACAATACCAGTAAGGCAAAGGTATCCTGGGAATTCAAGAAGACAGAGCGACTGGGTCAGGCGCAAGAAGGGAGGGACGAGGAGGGATCCCCGGTGGGGGAACTTCCAGAACTCCCTGCTTGGGGCAGGCAGCATGGCAGGGAAGCACTCAGAGCAAGGTCAGACCCAGCCCCAGCATGCCTGCCCTGCCTTCCCAGCCTCCTCTTTCTCCTTGGCATCACAGTTCGTGGCAAGAAGTCGGGAAGACGCAGAATGCACCAGAACCCACTCTGAGTCACAGAGCCTCGGAGGCTCCCAGCAGGTGAGGGGCGGGGAGGCCCTCCTGGGATGGGCTGGAGTATTCCTGATGCTGGCCCCGCTGCAAAACCCACAGGACACAGGCTCTGCAGGGAGCTGTCCTGACGCCCAGCATCCCCTGGAAGCTGGGAGAACCCCAGGAGGGGCTGTGGGTGATGAGGAGGTAGCCACCGCGGCTCGTAGGCTGGGGGCACAAGCCCGCTGATTGGAAATTTCCCGTACAGGAGCTACAAATGGCAGGGGGACTAAAGGTTCAGTAAACTTAAAACACACAAAGCAAAAGAAAACAGAACTGAGCAGCTATCAAACCCCTGGAGAGGAGAAGACGGTAGTCTCTATTAAGAGACTGAAAAGAAAGCTACAAAGTAAAAAAAAGTCTAACAGGCAACCAGGCAAAAGTAAAAAGCTCTCATTTGTTAAAAAAGTGAAAATTTTCAAAATTTGCCATAAAACAACAAAAAAATAGGTAGCAATGCTAACATCTGTGTTACAAGACAGCGTGACTAGGCCGGGCTGGTGGCTCACACCTGTAATGCCAGCACGTTGGGAGGCAGAGGCGAGTGGATCACTTGAGGTCAGGAGTTCGAGACCAGCCTGGTCAACATGGCGAAACCCCTTCTCTGCTAAAAATACAAAAATTAGCTGGGCGTGGTGGAGGGGGCCTGTAATCCCAGCTACTCAGGAGGGTGAGGCAGGAGAATCGTCTGAACCTGGAAGGCAGAGGTTGCAGTGAGCTGAGACTGCACCTTACTCCAGCCTGCGTGACAGAGTAAGACTCCAACAGAAAAAAAGAAAGACAGCTTGACTGTATTAGGAAAAATGACAAGACCACCTCCTAACAGGCGAAAACCTTCAAGTTCACGGGAAAGGAAACTCAAGCTAACCAGGGCTGCGGAATGCGGCAGGACCGTGCACACAATACCCCCAGGGCTGGCGACTCTGCACCTCAACACCGGGACCCCAGGACCAAGCTTGAGAAGTGGAGGCCCGGCAGGGGGACGCACGTCACACACCACCCATCAAGACCAGCAGGCCAGGGGGTCCTGGAACACTCTGGTGGACCCACATAGGACCCCGACCTTGTGGCCACCGTTACGGCACACAGGCGTGTGAAGAGGCTTGGCGCTCTGGGGCCAGGCGTTGGGAGCATTGGCTTACGGCGGTCACTAACAATTCTCTCTCCAAATGTCCCAAAATCCCTGCCTGTTACTTCTTTCCCCACACGATGTCTTATTTATGGTAAAACACACAACATAATCTTACCAACTTCACCCGTTTTCAGTGGGCAGCTCTGCGGCATAAGTCACACCCGTCACACTGCCTCTGGGCTTATCTTGTCTAACCGAAACTCTGCTCACTGAACAGAAATGCCTATCCCCTCCCCAAGCCCGTCACCAGCACTTCTACTCCTTCTTAATGTTTAAAAAGTAAGGATGAACTGGATTGGGAGGTGCAGCAATGGAAAACCTACTTCCTTCCATTCTCCAAAATTGCAGCAAGTCCTCCTGAGAGGGAGGCAGAGGTGACGAGCCGGGCGCTGGGGCCCACAGGCCCTGGGTAGGGCACCGGGCTGGTCTCCACCCAAGGAAAGCAGGGGCCACGCTCGGACACACAAGGGGCTCCTGGCTGCCTGCAGAGCTCTGGGCAGAGGACGGTCCCCTTGTCTGGGAGGCTCTAATTCCGAGGCCGGAGCTGCCTTCCCCATCAGCTCAGGCAAGCAAATGAGGCCGCACTGGGAGAGGAACAAAGGCACTGAGTGTCCCGCCCGTCACCATCAGAATGCAGCGCGCGCCCCACCACAGCGTCCGCCTCAAACCCAGGGTCCTCCTGCCAGGTGGCTCAGGACATCTCTTGGAAACAGCGCCCATACATCAGGGTCCTAGAGGACCTTGCTCTCAGCCCCACCGGCCCCGCCACCCTCCTCACCCACCTCCCTGGGCTCCTCAAAAAGAGACTTTTCAAGCTTCAGTCAGTTAAGAACCAAACTCCATGTCACGACACACCACCAGGGATGGGCCGGGCCACGCTTCCAGCCTGTGCGTGCGCCGGGGTGGGGCCCTCCACGGCCACATGGGCAGCCCCTGCCCTGCGCTGACTGCGCTCCACTCTACACCAGGACGACTTCACCTCAATGACATCAGCAGAGAGCTGTTTCCAAGTAAGGTGGGGTCCACAGGTACCAGTGGACATGAATTTTGGGGGAGGACACGGTTACCCAGCACATCCCCGACTGACAGATGCAGAAACCAGGGCCCATCTACACACTGACCTTCACTCCAGGGCTGCACCTCATGTCAGACCGGGGGCTCCTGACATTGTCAGCCCAAGTCTCACCTGCACCTTCTGTCCTGGGTGCAGCAACCTTGCATCCCTCACTGGACAGACAGCCCGTGCCCTCCCTACTTCCAGCTGCCCATCCCCCCGCCACGGTCCCTGGAGGGAGCCCAGCTCCTCAGCCTGTAGCCCGGCGCTCTCCCCAGGGCCGGCCCCCCCGCCTCACCTGCAGGCCCACCCCCGGCAGCCCAGGGCCCTCAGACTGCCTCCCTACCTTCCCCCTGTCAGGTTCTGAGAGGCTTCCTGAGAGACTCCTTCTCTTGCCGGCCCCCCAATGAGGCCACGTTCTCAGGAGGTCTCCGCCCTTCCCCTGCGCTGTGCAGGTGCTGTACCAGTGGGGCTGGCCTGCACCCGGCCTTGGGAGGAAGCCTGCCTTCAGGATCGAGATGGCTGCGGAAGAGCACGTGGCACCTGGGACCACTGCCCCAGAGGGTAGCAGCTTTTCCCAAGGCTGCGGCTTCTGCTCAGATAGGACCTGCCACATCCCCCTGCCCCCTGCCTCCTGCCCCATACCTCCATCTGTCTCAGATACACCCAGAAACACTCCTTCACTGTGGCTCCTCCAGACCCTGGCCCAGAGCCAGGGTGTGCTGTGAGGACCCAGGAACCACAGCCTCCGAGCCACCCAACACCAACAGCCACAGAGAGGGGGGCGCTGCTGACCCGGAGCCTGGAGGACACTGGTCCTGGGCACCAGAGCAGGAGCAGGGCTCACCGCGGCTGTCCAGGCTCCCCCAGGGTCCCCCAGGCTCAGGGTGGCACCCGGCCAGGCTCCAGGTCCTCTCTGCAAGCAGGACGGAATTGGGCCAGCCGGCCCTGGAACACAAAAGCACACTGCTCTGGAAACCGCTGAATCAATTCTGGTCACACAAAGGCGACAGTGTCTGGGGAACCTTGGACTCAGAAACCACAGAGGACTTTATTTCCCCTTCCCCAGCCCAAGATTTAAAAAAAAAAAAAAAAAGTGGTTCCTGGTCTCTGGCGCTGGCCCTGGGCTGTGCCTCCTTCACACCATCTCCCCAGCCGAAGCTCCTCTCCCAGTCTGGGTCCCTGGATCACAGCTGACCTCCACACCAGGGCCAGGCTGCCGCGCGCCCTTCATCCCCTTATTATCTGGCGGCTCTCCCGCTGATCCCGGGATAAGCGGCGTCCGAGTTCCCACGGCAGCCAGCCCTCCTAAGCAGTGGCCCTGGGGGACTCACAGATGTGCAGCAAAACACACACGCCTCCCCCACGCCCACTGCAGTGGGCCCCAGCCCCTGCCTGGCCCTCTGCCAAGTCTCAGTCATCTAGGAAAGGTGGACCCAAAACCTCA